AAGATGTACCGGGACTTGAAAGAAAGTTACTGGTGGTCGGGGATGAAGAGAGAGATTGCAGAATACGTGAGCCGTTGCCTTACTTGTCAACAGGTTAAGGCAGAGCACCAACTGTTGGTCCTGGTTGTACTGGATACAGTCTAGAGGGGGGGTGAATAGACTGTATTGGTTTTTAGATTTTTAAGCTAAGTACCAGATTTTACAGAATAGCTTGTTCTGTTGGCAGAACAGACTGGCAGCGGATGGGGTTCTGGTAGAGAGTTCTGTTAATAGCCTCAGAGAAGCAAAGGAAGTAGGCCTTCTGTTAACTCACAAGACCAGTTATGCTGAACACAGATACCAAGTCTTTGGAGTCAAACAGTTCAAGTAAAAACTCTGAATGAAAAGCAGTAAGTAGATGACACCAGGGCATTTTATAGTGGTTCAAGGAACAACTTGTTCCTCTAGTCCACTGTTCCACTAAGCTGTAAAAACTTCCGTTTACAATGCCTTAGCCCTATCACTTAAGAAGCTCTCCACGTCTTCTTCAAGTGTAGATGTCTCCTTGGATGCACTTCCGGCTTCCCTAAGACTGGTCCTTTCACTGAGCTTTCCAGAAGTATCACCACTTCACAGCTCCAGATACTTGGACGTCCTTCTTGTGAAAGAAAAGGTTCTATTTAGAACAGGGGTTCCTCCAACTTGCTTCGTTACAAAGAGTTTGTATGTGATGAGCTTGAAGAGTTGAAGAACACTTGGAACTTTGCTTGAGTTGGAAATAAGTATTTTTCCAACTTCTGCCTTCTCTTGTAGAGGATGATGAAGTGTTAATCTCAAGGAGGCTTTTGGCTTTTAAGCGTTTGAATTTCTTGTATGCAGAGTTGTAGCAATGGTTAGCAAAAATTGCAAAGTTATCCGGTTGTTCTTCGTAGTGTATCTTTTATACTGAGGCTGTCTTCCCGTTGGAGGAGAAGGAGGACAACTGCATTAAATGAGCGAGCAGTTGACTTGACCAGTAGAACCCGGTAAAGTTGGTGAGTTACTATTTTGGGATAAGGTAATCATGACATTGCGGCCAATCATCTGCAATTACTCTACGGAGCATGGGGAGCATTAAATGTGCATTTAATGCGCGTACTGTAGCGTTTCCGTTCAAGTCTCCTAGCCGTTGAAGGAATCTTCCAGTTGATTTCCCGGCTTGGTGGAATTCTTCTAAGTGTCAGGCCTTCTGGTGTCTTTAACAGAGAGTTGATCAGAGAAGGTCTGGAGCACTTCTGTTGAAAATATATCCAACGGAAGCCAGGAGGGTATCTGTCAGAGTAAAGGCTAACAGAGACCCTGAGGTCTTCTGTTCTGAAGTAGGGAACCAAAGGTCCTCGGTTCAACAATGCCTCAAAAGGGTGGTCTTCTGCCCTTGGAGCCCTTCTGCTCAGAAGGTCTTCTGGTCTGGAGGCTTTCTGCCAAGTCGATTAAACTAAGAACTTTACAAATGAAAAATTCTAATACATTAAGTCTAAAGAGGGGTACTCTAAAGTCCTAATTATTCTAGCATCATCAAAATCTAAATACAAATATTCCTTACACCAACACCCAGCAGGGTTACTACAACCACTTACCATCCCAGAATGGAAGTGGGAGCATGTTACCATGGACTTCGTGGTGGGTCTACCACGGACGGTTAGGAACTACGACGCAGTATGGGTGGTAGTCGATAGGCTGACCAAGAGCGCTCATTTCCTACCTATCAACACTACCTATACGCTCGAGCGGTTGGCCAAATTGTACATAGATGAGATTGTGAGACTGCATGGGGTTCCGGTTACTATAGTATCGGATAGAGACCCACGGTTCACATCACGGTTTTGGCCTAAGTTCCAGGAATCCATGGGTACGAAATTGAGGTTTAGCACCACGTTTCACCCTCAAACGGATGGGCAATCTGAACGGGTGATTCAGATCTTGGAGGACATGTTAAGGGCATGTGCCTTGGAGTTCCAGGGGAGTTGGGACAATCAGTTGGCTTTAGTGTAATTCGCCTATAACAACAGTTATCAGGCGAGTGTAGGCATGCCTCCATACGATGCATTGTATGGGAGGAAATGCCGAACACCATTGTGTTGGGATGAGGTCGGCGAGGCTAAGCTCGAGGGCACCGAGCTAGTCGAGATCACTAAAGAGAAGATAAAAGTCATACAGGATAGGCTCAAAGCTGCCCAAGACCGGCAGAAGAGCTATGCTTATAAACGTCGGAGGACGTTGGAGTTTGAGGTTGGTGACGAGGTATTTCTGAGGGTATCACCTTGGAAAGGGATCACCAGGTTCCTCAGTCGGGGTAAGCTTAACCCACGTTACATAGGTCCGTTCAAAATCCTTGAAAGGATTGAGGTTGTAGCTTACCGACTTCAGTTGACTCCGGAGCTAGAAAAGATTCATAATGTATTTCATGTTTCAATGCTCAAAAAGTATGTGTGGGACCCGTCACATATTCTTGAGAAACCACCGGTGGAAATCCGAGAAGACCTGCACTATAGGGTGCAGCCGGTGAAAATCATGGACCGATAGGTAAAGAAGCTAAGGAGCAAAGAGGTGTCGATGGTAAAAGTACTTTGGAAGAGTGATCGTGTCGAGGAGCAAACTTGGGAAGTGGAGACCCTAATGAGGGAACAATATCCATTTCTGTTCGATTAGACGCGTGGATTTCAGGGACGAAATCCCAAATAAGGGGGGTAGAACTTGTAACACCGCCCCCAAGTATTTGTACTTTATAAAATTATGTATCGAACCCTGAGCAATGTATAAAAGCATTTTTACGTGATTGTAAATTTTTATCATTTCTATTATGTGAATAGTAAAATTCACGTGGGGCCCACACCGGATGTGGGGCCGCCCGATATTATCGGGACCACATATTATATTAATCTTGGACTAGATAATATTTATGTGGTGGTGGATATCCTAATTGGGCCATGCCAATGGCATAGGAGTGATCAGTTGGTCAAACGTGGCCAAATTATCAGTATCAGCAAATTATCAGATAACAGCCCGAAAAGGGATTTCAGAGACTTCTAACTTAAAGTTGAGGAATGTATATTCGTCATAAAGTCCAATAAGGATTGGGAACAAGTGTTATATTTTATTTGACCCGATAAAGTAAAATATAATTGCAGTCCGGAAAATACAACGTTCGGGACCGATTGTACACTCCGGGACACAAAGGGTTGACCTACCACATGAGTGGGGGCCAACCCACGTTCTTAAGCTGGTAAATGTATAGGGGAGCCTCACCTTTAGGATGCTGAAAGGGAGTGAGAAGGGGGTTGGAGACAAGGTGTTAAAGAAAGGGGGGTCCCTCCCTCATATCATTGATGAATAATCCAAAAAGAACACTCTCAACCACCCCAGCCCATACACTGCGTCCCAACCATCATTTTGGAGGAGAGAAGCTCTACAAAAACTCTATTTTCATCCATCATACACGCACCAAGTTGAGGGAGGAAGAAGAAAGGAAAAAGAGAAGAGAAAAGAGGAGTTTAGGTGGGAAAACTTGTGTTTAACAAGGTAATGACTACATAAACCCCATTTCTTGTTATTCAATCATTTTATACGATTATACAATCATATTCCACACCCTAGGATTGTTCTACACGTTTGGAAGTGTAGAATGAGGGGTTGGAAGGTGGTTCTAAGTCCAAGAACGGACTTAGAAGCCAAGGTGACCGGTTCGCCGGAAAATAACCTTTTGGAGGTTATTTGTATTAATATGGGTTGTATGATGATAAAACCATGTTAGTAACTTGTCTAAGGTATTCAAGGAACTTTCACGGAGTTGAAAGGGTCGCTGGAGTTCTCGCCGGAGTTCGTTGAAGTTCGCCGGAGTTTCGCCGGAGCTAAATCGGGAAGGCTAGAACTTCATAAGCTTCATTAAGGTGAGAAGACGGCTTTATGCTTTATAACTTTTGCGTAAGGCATGGGTAAATACCCGACCGGGTTTTGATTAAAAATGGATCCAGAAGCCACTGCCACACTAAACCTGACCGGGTATGGGTATAGACCCGACCGGGTCTCAAGTAAAGTTGGCTCCAGGGGCTACTGCCATACCCTACCCGACCGGGTAAGGTTGGATACCCGACCGGGTATTGGTTTATGCTCAGAACGGGCAGTTTTGAGTAGGTTAACGTGGGCCGTTCGGGTGGGACCCGCCCACGTTGGATCCTAAGGATTGTTATATGACTATAGGGCTAGGCATTGTCCATAGTTGAAGGAATGAAAGGTTAGCCATATCCAGGTTAGGATTTGGTAGAGGATAGACTGGGGATTGAGTGCTCTTGGACGGTAAATGATCCAGAATACTCCAGGTGGGGTTGAGTACCCTTGGACGGTAAATGATCCAGAATACTCCAGGTGGGGTCGAGTACCCTTGGACGGTAAATGATCCAGAATACTCCAGGTGGGGTCGAGTACCCTTGGACGGTAAATGATCCAGAATACTCCAGGTGGGGCCGAGTACCCTTGGACGGTAAATGATCTTAAATACTCCAGGCTGGGTTGAGTGCCTTGGACGGTAAATGATCCTAAAACACTCGGTAGTATGAAACGAAGGTAGACTATAGCTTGTGAGCTAGGCAACCGGGAAAGGAGTGAGAAAAGTCAGGTAAGAACTTTATCTCTAAAAGACTCTTTAAGGTAAATGACCTACGGGTTGAGTATTTTACGAGTATATATACAGTATGTATCATCGGGTGGATGAGAGACATCTATATATATGTATCACCCTATTTTTGGGTCTCGTGTCTGAAACATTAGTTATTCTTCATATAGCCTGCTTGTCACTAGTACTTCTATGGAGTACTGACCCCTCCGGGGGCCCTCACATTTTTCAGGTTGAGGCTAGAGTCCTACTACCTGCACCTTTGCCTAGGGTGATCATTCGAGGAGGAAGACGTGGTTCGTGCTTCCATTCGTATTTTTGAAATTATAAACTGCTCATGGATTTTTGAACAATGTTTTCATTAAAACAGTTGGGGGCCTACGTGCCCGTGTTTGCCACGTGTGGCTAAGTATCAAACATATTATTTTTTTCGCATTTGTTTGATTATGATATTGATGTTGATTGTATGTGTTTACTAATCGGTTTGGCAATAGAATCAATCGGACGCCTTGTACAATTCAATAGGGATGAACTGTTGTTGTTCTTATCGGGTTGTACGACGGTTGTCTACGTGGCTCGGATGTGGTCCGGGGCGTGACATATAAACTGACTAACTATTCTAGCCATTTACTTCTTCCCATTTTTCCGATTCCTAAAAAATTCAGGAAGATCCATCTTCTTTTTAGTAAATGTATCCTCCCAACTTAAGCCTGGAATTCTCCGTATCATTCTATTTCTGCACACTTTATCATCTTTTCTAATCGTAAACACTTTACCATCCATATAAACTTCATCAAAGTCCGAACCCACATCCTCCTCCCAAGAGATTTCGGTCTCTCCTGAGCTCTCATTTTCAATCCTCTTCGGTGTTCTACCGCCAGATTTCATTGTCTTCGGCCTACCCGTATTCTTCTTCTTCCTTTTATTTTTATTCATATTTTTAACAATTTTGTTTCTGTCAATCACAACTTCTGGGAATTGCAGCGCGGTTGCAACCTCCCTTACCTCCAGCTGCCCATCCATTCCAGCAGCAGCAAGTTCTGGTTCAAAATCTTCCTTCCCGGCCTGGGAAATTTGCGGCCCAGCAGCAACAGTAGATTGAACAGCAGCAGCACTTGTCCCAGCAGCAATTGTACCAATGGCAGTAGTATTTGTCCCATCATCACTTTGCATCACAGCAGCATGTTCCATCCTCATAGGAACCAGTGCAGCAGGAATTGTCCCAGCAGCAGGTTGAACTTTAGAACCGGCAACAGTAGCTTCAAAAGACGGTTGCACATGGGACGCAACACCAGGTTCTTCAAGAATAGCATCAGGTTCTTCCGTTGCAGCAGCAGTAGCTTCGAAATCAGCACCATCTGGGGCAGAAATAGCCCCTGCAGCAGTAGTTTCAAGATCAGTAGCACCTTTAGTCTCATGTGCTTCACCTTTGGAAAGTTCCTTCTCGGCTAGAACTTTACAAGTAAAGGGGTGATGCCCATACTCTTTGCAATGAAAGCAAAAACTAGGGAAAGTTTTGTACACCACATGTTGTTTGAATACCTTATGGGAAGGTAGTCTTATAGGAAATGATAATTGAGGTGGATTGGAAACATCGACTTCAATAAGCACTCTAGCAAAGTGATGGTTGCTTTTCTCTTGGGTGACCTTGTCCGTGGTAAGTGGGACACCAACCATAGAGACCACTTCACTCATCGCATCATCACTCCATAGTTTTAAGGGTAGATTTGGGAATTTAACCCAAATCGACACCTTTAAAAACTCTTCATCAACGAAAGAGAAGTCCTCGTGGAGTGGTTTAAGCATCAACAATTTCTCAAATTTGGAGTATGGCCCTCCATTCAGCACTTTAGCTCTATCACATTCACTTTGAAATTTAAAGATGACCCAACCCCTATTATGGCGTCTAACTTGGCATTTCACACCCCATTCCACTCTCAACTCGTGAACAGCTTTCAATCCGGGGAAAATACCTGTGAAACACCCGACGAGACAGTAACTCCACATCTTTACCATAGAAGGAAAGATCCTATCAGTAACGTCCAGTCCATTTTCTTTGGGTGGAACATATTTCAGTTTGAGACCGTGCGTTGGGGCTCGGTTGTCCTTAAACAGAGTGTTCCAAGGTTTCCTTTCTGAAGTATCATATTTAGTCTTCATTAAAGTGATCTGTTTAGCTGGTTCCTCTTTATTGGCAGAAGTTGAAGTTACAACTTTCCGTACCTGTTCAGTAGTTTCAATCTGCAAATCAATGGTATCAACAATCAGGACCTTACTGGGGGTGTTGCAATCTGCACCAGAAACCCCTGCATTGGCATAAAGTCCCACGGAAGTAGAGTCCAGAGTGGGGAATTCATCATCCAATCCATCCAACAAATTGAAGGAGGCTTTGGACCTGGTAACCCTTCTCTGAGGTGTTTCCCTGTTAACCAGCTTCTTCCTTGCCATAACCCAACAGACGCAGCAACCCCTGATTAGTGCAGAGTTTGAAGGGTACAGGACGACCCCAGAAAATTCTCAGAAACCGGAAAAGAAACAGCTCCAAGCGAATTTCATATCAGATTCAAACCTCGCTGATGAACAGTAATTCGCCAAAACGATGAGAGCGGTGTTCCTTTTTCCCGAAATCCCTACCAGTCAGAACTGCGACCAGGGGTTTCAATCTCCAAACCAGAAACCAAATCCTCAAACAATAACCAGAAACAGAGCAATGAACAGAAATCACCTGCGATGGGAACAGTAACCACGCAATTTTGTCTCGCCCTTCTTTGAGGCTCTGGCCTCTAAATTACCTTCCAACTTTGAATCCAACCTCGGAAGTAAGCGTAGCTTGGAATATTAACCAGACAAATCAACAAGATCCGTAGTGAAACCTGTTGAATTGATCGTTGCGTGAAACTGGTAAGGACCCAGCGAGAGTCTCTCTCTAAACACGCATCATGCCTTTGATATTTTGAAACCAGTCCCTAAAGACAAGTTTTAGAAATCGGTAAGATCGTTCCAATGAGATATTAAACGCTTTCAACTCAACACAATAGAGCAAAATACGATCGCATCAAATTCAACACGAGTTCGGAGTGAAATCAGAAACATTTGTGAATTTATGATTAATCTGTAACTTTTAATTAATGCATTGTAAATGAAGTTGGAACAATAGCTTTAGAGCTCCAAATTATCTTTCCAACGAGATATAATACTCTCTAAACGGAAGAACACACATCAGCGTAAATATAGCACTTTTAGCATAAATACAGTCTTTTTTAGTAATTACGCAATCATCCCTTCATATTTTGAAACCAGACCCTTTATGCTCCAAACTAAAGATCTCACATTTGGAATATGCTGATGATTTAATGCTTTTCTCAAAGGGTGAACACAAATCTATAAAGATATTGGTGGATTCTTTACACGATTATGGTAGGGTTTCTGGCCTTATGGTCAACCAAGATAAATCCAATATCTTTGTAGGAGGAAATATAACGAACAGGCTACCAGCCATTCTACAGTTAGTGGACTTTCAACAAGGATCCTTCCCGGTAAGGTACTTAGGTATACCATTGGCCCCTCTAAAGATTTATGTAGCCCTGTTCTCTCCTTTGATTGATATGGTTACAGATTATTTGAATGCATGGAACACCAAGTCCTTATCATATGCTGGGAAATTTGAGTTGATAAAGTCTGTTATACAAGGGATACAATCTTTTTGGCTAGGAGTATTTCCGGTTCCTAAAACTATTTTGGATAGAATTATTAGTCTTTGTCGTATATTTCTTTGGGGGGAAAGCATGCGAAAGTGGCTTGGGAAGATGTATGCATACCCAAAGAAGAAGGGGGTTTAGGTATTAGGGACACAAGAGTTTGGAACAATGCATCACTATCTCGTACTTTATGGAATATCCACTCAAAACAAGACTCTCTTTGGGTGAGATGGGTTCATGGGGTATACCTAAATGGGAGGTGTGTGTGGACCTTTGATCCACACAATAGGGACTCACAATTAATGAAGAGATTTGCTTTAATACGTGACAAGATTGTCTCTAAATTCTCTTCTATAGCCGAGACCATTACATACCTTGAAAAGATGACTTTTAGTGGCAAATTTTCTTCTTCCAAGGTATATGACCTTCTTAGACTTAAAGCGACACCACATGCATGGATGTCTTTCATTTGGAAGGCTTACATCCCTCCAAAATTCTCATTTATAATGTGGCTCGCATTCCGGAATAGGCTGCCAACGTATGATAACATGGTATATCTTGATGTTGCTAATGTTTGTCCATTTTGTAAGGGTGAACCGGAGACGGTACCACACCTATATTTTGATTGTAAATGTACAGGGCAGCTTTGGAATAATGTCAAGGATTGACTAGGCATTTCAAGACAAATGTCATCATTGAAGAGCGTTGTAAAGTGGATCCAAAGGGAGTGCAAAGGAGCGCACATTAGAGCCAAGGCAACAAGAATAGCTTTTAGCTACACTATATATTGGATATGGCGAACTCGCAATGCAATTCGTTTTGATGGTGCGGCCTTAAAGTTGGAAGAGATGTTTACACATATCAAGTATATGGTGTACAAAGTGCTCTATTCTCTCTATCCATACCATATGATTAATTTTTGAAACTTTTGTCACGGCTTGATGGCTGGCTGTTTTGCTATGATTATTTTGGCTAGATCTTTAATCTAGAGGTTATGCTAATATAGCACTTGATGTATAGGATATCCACACTTTGATATGCCTCTAATTTTGCCACGATGTACATAACTTTTGGTTACTATATATATATTTACATTTCACCAAAAAACAAATTGAAACCAGACCCTGAAGACAAGTTTTAGAACCCAGTAAGATCTTTCCAATGAGATATTAAACGCTTTCAACGGAACAAAATAGATCAAGATATGATCGCATCAAATTCTACACGAGCTCGGAGTGAAATCAGAAACATTTGTGAATATTTGGTTAATCTGTAACTTTTAATTAATGCATTGTAAATGAAGTTGGAACAATATCTTTAGAGATCCAAAGTATATTTCCAATGAGATATAATACGCTCTAAACGGAAGAACACACAGCAAGATATGAGTGTCAAAAATACTTAGCCTTATCTCTGTGATTTAGCATTTTCAGCGTAAATATAGCACTTTTAGCGTGAATACAGTCTTGTTTTAGTAATTACGCTATCATCCCTTCATATTTTGAAACCGGAACCTGCGGACAAGTTTTAGAACTCGGTAAGATCTTTCTAACGAGATATTAAACGTTTGCAACGGAACAAATTAGAGCAAGATATGATTGCATCAAATTCTACACGAGTTCGGAGTGAAATAAGAAATATATGTTAACTTATGGTTAATATGTATCTTTTAATT